AAGATCGAATCCACACAATGGAGTGAGCACCCGTCACTTGTCGCAGCTCCTGCCAACTTAGCAGTTCGAAAGCATGTAAAAGTGCAAGTAAATAAATAGGTACCACCATGGTGGGAAGGTAACAGTGTTCTGTGTCTAGTCACGCTGGCCACGTGACTATGGAAACTGTCTTTGGACAAACGCTGGCTTTACGGCTTGGAAATGAGCACCACACTCTAGAGGCGGACACAACTGGACTAAATATCAAGGGTAACCTTTACCTTTATATACTATAATGGTTGCTATGATGGGTTTTTGTTACCTTAAAAATTAATTTTAAAATTTTTTAAAATTAAATGTATTATGTCTGTTTGTTTAAACATGCGATTAAAGTCTCCTAACCTCTCATAGCCAAATGTTCAGAAGTCTTTGCAAAAATGGTAACCTAGTTGAAAGAGCACCTTGCACCCTTTACTGGCTATTTTGTAAACAAAAAATGAGAGTATAGAGGACCCAGAGGTGTTCACAGCTCTTCAAAATATGGCAAAATGTCCTCCAACATTGCCTAGAAGGCACAAAGGGACTTAATAATAATAAATTCTAACATGGCAACCCTGATCAAGGTCTCCTAGGTAGAGAATTGACAGAGTACACTTGTACCTCATGGGTGGGGGTATAAATTTAATAAAAATAGAAGTAGTTTATCATTCCCTTCTTTGGCATGGGTGGGGGTATAAATTTAATAAATAAAAATAGAAGTAATTTATCATTCCCTTCTTTGGGGAATGCCCTGGGACTGTGAAGCTTACCCAGGGCCACACAGGCTGGCTTTTCTCCAAGAAGGCACAGTGGGGACACAGACTCCCAACTTCTGGCTCCACGACCAGATACCTAAACTGAGCAAAAATCAGTTTTAAAAAATATTAATTCTGAGGGTGAGGGGGTATGCAGCAGCAGAAATGGTGGGCTTCGCTTGCTGACCTCTGCTTAGCTAAGTGTAGATGTGCTGTTAGTGGCCCAAGAGGGCGTTCTTGGTGGAAGCTGAGAATAGCCTGTCCCAAATATTACCTGAGAGTGAAGTTGCATTTTACCCTGGTCACCCCGTCCCTACAAATCAGCCATGGCTGAGGTATAGTTGGAGGATATTTGTAGCAGCAAGAATCAGCGGTTGGGGGAAGGCACCTTCTCTTTCCTCTTCAGTAATGATCATTTCCACTCTTGAAGTCTTGCTGGAGGCAGGCGGTATTCAATACCCATCTCAGGTAACAAAAATATTTGGGCTAATATTGGACCTTCCAAATATTCAGGTATAGGACCCTCCCAGCCACTATTTTCTACAGCCCTTGCTGCATCCTTGAACTACTTTGAACCTTAGTCCTCTTCAGTCATTTTTAAAGGGGATAGAATCTTCACAGGATGAGAAAGGTGCACTCACTCCATCCTTTTCTACTGTCATTTTCTCCTGGAAAAGTGATTATCTGAAAAGGAAGAACCTGCTGTATCTATGCAAGCCAGAACACACAACAAAATCAATCAGCCAATCAGTCAATCAATCAGGTTCTGGTTTGCGTGGTGAGCCCACATGGATAGAAAATGTCATGCTTCAGACTGTCACTTTTGTGTGAGGAAAGTGACAACAGAGGGAAAAGGCTAGCCCATATCCCTTATCACATGTGGAATACGCACCTTTTAGCAATGATTGAAAAGGGAAGTTATCAAATATCATGCTGCATTAGCTACGTAAGTGAGTACTATTCGAGAATAGAAAGGAGTAGAGAAATATTCAGAAATCAATGGAGCAATGATGACAAGCAAATTGTTGGGAGAGGCTCCAAGGACACCAACCAAGACATTTTTCTGTGGCTCTCCCAATAATTAGTGCAAAACTACAGTAGTCAAATGGCTCAGATTTGAAAGCAAAATTTACAGCTCTGCTTAGCATAGAGGCAAGCAAAGAGTTAGGCACACAGTGCATGTCAGTCCTGGTTTCTTCATGGCATCCAACCAATGGAATTATTCAGCCCAAAGCATGCATACACAGATAATTTATTTCTGCTTATGCAATGAGAGAGGCATGAGCTGGTGGAAAATCTAGTGCCTTCAGAAGACCTGGTCCAAATTCATACACAAAACCAGATGACGCAAATAAAGCCTGCCAAGATCTTCCACTGACAAATACATGTCTTTCCAGCCAACACCTATCAGCCAACCTGTGATTAGTCCTTTGTGAGAGACGGAAACTGTCATGCAGGGCACAAGAGTGTGGCATCTGCCCTACTACTGGCACTGCAGCCCTCTGTTTAGCAATGCCACCTGAAGGTACAATTATAATTGACGCTGAATTGTGAAAAATATTATTTACTGGATTTCGTCACTGATGGAATGTTAGCGTCAGTCCTGAGAGGAAGCTGAAATTGTCCTACTTAACATCCCTCTACAGGGATGGTGATGCCATCTGTCCAGGTAAACCTTAGTCTTCCAACTAGCTATTACTTTCGTGGTCTGACATTGCATTCTGGGAAGCAACCAGTGCCCATGTTTTTTTGTTTTTGTCTTTTTGCCTGAAAAAGCAAGAAGCTTCAGAAATAGATCAGGAGATATTTTGTTTTCTAAAAAACAAAACAAAACCTGTTGATGCCCTCGGTCTGCCTGCCAGCTCTGTCTGTGACCAAGTGGATCTCATCAATCCCAACAAAGGGGGATGTTTTGAGTTGATAGGAACTCCGTAAGAAACTGAGCTGCTTTGGGACAGGAAATGTCTGAATGGAATCATGGCTCTTTTGAAGCGCTAGTAAGTCTGGATCTCAGCACTTCTGAAATCTAACAAATTTGCCTGGGGAGAACATAAAGACACAAAGTTTAATGGAAGTTTTTTTTCCCTCCCAAGCACTTCACATAAGGAAGGGAGGAGAATCATTTTGTGATACCTGGGAGGGTATACCATGGGGTACTTAGAAGCCAGGGTGGGCAATGTGGGCAGGCCTGGGAGTCTGCATCAGGTGAAAAAAAATATCCCCTAAAGTGAAAAAATAATCAGCATTGGAAGTGATCCAACATTCATTTATGCCTTTATTTGGGGGGGGGGAGAGAGAGACAGGCCTTGGGGCTTTGGACTGTGTTCTTGATGGTCTCTAGGAAGAGGAACCTTCCTTTTTTGTGGAAAAAATATTAATGAGGGTCATTGAGAGAAGCTCCCTTAGGGCCTGGAAGCTTCATGAATGGTTTGAGAGAGCACATGTTAGACCTGGACTGCCCTCTTAATCTCTAGGCTTAAAATAAAGGTACTGTACCTCCAAATGCCAGAAGCAGGGGAGGGGTATCAGGAGACAAGTATCTAGGTCTCTCCTATGCTCCCAGAGGCTTCTGGTGAGGCCACTGTGAGATACAGGAAGCTGGACAAGATGGGCCCTTGGCTTGATCCAGCAGGGCTCTTCTTATGTTCTTATTAATTCCCCAAATTCGCTCATTTAACTTGGCAAGTGGATTTCAAAAACCAGTCCTCTCCCTTCAACACCTCTTTTTGCACCCCTCTTAGTCTATGTGCCCTAATGTTTGCCTTGCTGCTACATGTCCCAAGCCGCTGTAAAAAGTTGCTTCCAAGTTCTAGTGGTCCATAATTGCAGGGCTTTTTTTCCTTGACAGTACTTGGATCCCTTCCTTCCAGATCTAGACTGCATGTATACATACAAAGAATAGTTCACCCATTTTCATTCCTCAACTCAACAACTAACAACAACAACCTTTATTGGCATAAAGATTTTCATTCCACCATCAGATGTCATATGTGGAAAGATACAACTGCACCCTGACAAAAAACAAAACAAAACAAAACCCTGGCAGTTTCCATTCAAAGTTACACAACTGGCTTGCAAAAGAAAGTTGTGTGTCACACAATCCATCCAAGTTCTGATTTTTATCTTCACTTGCTTCTTCATCTCGCCCCCCCCCCAACACACATTTGACCAGGAAATGGCGATATACAAGGGGCAGGGGAGAACTGGAGAAGAGCTTTGTATGTTGACTGTTGCTCAGTGAAGATATTTTATCTCTGATGACTGAAAAATTACTCAGTTTAAAGAAAAAGAACTTGAGGATAGCCTTAGTGCAGGTCATCTAATCCAATGATTCTGAACTTTGGCCTTCAGTTTCCAGCACTCCGGCTGCTGACCATCAGCCACATTGACTTAGCTTCTAGTCTTTAGCCCAAGACATCTAGGAGACAAAAGATTGAGCCCCATTGATCTAATCCAGCACTCCTCCTGCGACAGCAGGCAGGCAGGCATTTCTGAAAAAGTCACAAGCTGCACAAAGAAGCAGCCTTCCTATTTGTTAGGGCCTTGCAGTGTTTTTAATGAGCAAAACGGACCAACATTTTCACTTCAACCCTAAATACAGTCCCTTGCACTTTTTTAAAAAATTGCAACGTTATCAACTTCATATACTGCAATCTCTTGTTGAGTTGAGAGGATCTCTTAAGGCTGCCTGTAACATTCCATTAAAAATAAATGTTAGGGCTTACTATAGATTCTCAGAATTCAGATCAAGCTCCAAACATCCACTGCAAGGGAATGATTCCAGACTGTGTGCAGTGCTCCCTACATTTCCATGTACACACTGAACATGTGGTGGGGGAAATGGGTCCATCTCCAACAAGGTTACACCAATCTCCACATATTGAGTGTGAAAAGGACCACGATGTGTGTTCAGCTGGATTCCAAAAAGATAGGCCTACATGTGTAGAACTGTACTTGTGCTGATGTTCAACTGAATGCATACAACATGGGCCTGACAGGTGTGATCCTGCTCTTCTCTCCAAACATTTTAAGTTCACACATAAAGATGAGAAATATCCAAAGAGCCCTCCTGTTTTCTATTATAGTATTAAAATTTAAGTGCTCCCTGAGAAGTATTCTCATTTACTTGAAAGAACAAAAGAAAATGTATTTTCATTCTATGTCCCGAAAGAAACTTATGTTCAGAAACATTGTTTTAAACATGGAAACAACTACAAAGTAAGTCAGTTTATTTTAAAACAACTTTTTTTATTTAAATATTAAATAAAACACAACTAATCATTTTGGTGTACATCTCTCATTTTAACATAAGAAATAAAATGATCTTCAGTCATGATAAAAAATAAAAACTATACATCTTAATTAAACCAGTCACATAGTGTCTTTAAATAATCTATTGCATTGCAGTCTGCAAAACAGTACTGTCAAGAATACTACAGGGGTGGAGGGGACAGACACAAACCCTGAAATGCTGAAAATGACCTTTTCCTACTTCAAAGCATTTTCTATAGCAAGGGGAAGGGTATTCTAGAAGTAAAGTGCTTGTCATTGCTTAGAACAAAAATATTGTTTTTTGTTGCTTCTTGATCTATGGCCAAAAAAAACAAACCCAGAAAGGGGGGGAAATTCTTAAAAGAATATGTGCTACTCTTTTATGAAAATGAAGGCAACATTGCTGCTGGTGCGTTTTAGTCATTCCTATGAACCACATACCAGGTCACATGGGCAAGTTAGCATGAGACTGGTGTTTTCCTCTCTCTGCTGAAAAGGCACCAGTCAGAGAGAGAAAGGTCAGATGGAGTGATTTCCCTTCACCTTGAAGATCTTAGAACACCCAGCAGCAGTGGCAAGCAGAAGACACATCAATACAAATACTGCACATGGACAAAGAGGGCTGGAGAGTCACAGACAAAGCCATATAACATTAACTCCTCCCCACCCTCCCAAAGTAAGTCTTTGGCTTGTTTGTTAAAAAAAAAAGTCTTTTTTCCCCAACATACATAACACTTCAGGTTGCACAAAGCAGTAGTAACTTGAAAGGCACCCGTGTTACATTGAAAGAGATGGGTCCTTGAAGTATTAGACAGAGTGAAGCTGAGAGCATCAGAATGGTAATTTTTGGCCACTACTTACTTACTTGCTTCCCTGCTCCTGACATTTTTTGTCTCCCTCTTTCCTACAGGCTAACTAAGAGGTCAAAGGAGGAAACACAACGGAACCCCCCCCTTTCCTCATGATTGCTCAAGCCTCGTATCTGTCAATATCAAAAGAAACCATGTTCTGGTCAGAGGGCACAAGTGCTAGAAAACATAAGAGGGGGAAGGGGGGAAGCTTATTTTAAAACCTAATTAGTAGTGTCTTTTCTTTCAGCCCCTATATACGCGGGTGCACAAACACACACAGAGTATTCAAACCACACATTAAAATGCTTAGAAAAACCGCATTGTCTATTAGGATGCAAAACAACAAAGCCCACAAGTTGTGCTATTTGTCTCACCTCAAAGAGTTTGTTCAAAAAAAACAAAAACTATTTTCTGAATAAAATTACTTTGTGCTATTCTATTCCTTTCAACTGTCAGTGTGGTTTTCAGAACTTTGTATATTGCACATTTCCCAATGAGTCAGTTAAGTTTGGACCCTGATAACAAAATGCATAAAACCTCATCAGCAGCGGCAATAAATGTGCACAGCACAGAGAAATACCATACCCTGTAGGCAACCTCAAAGCTGCTAGGGTTTTTATGGGGTTAGGGAGAAAAGAGAAAAACATTTAAAAAAAAATTCCAACACCAACATCTCTCACAATTCTACTCCCATCTCTTTTGCAGTGTTATATAAGCAACCCCATGCTGATATGCAAAATATTCGTGTTGTCTTTTCACCAGGAAAAAAAAGGCAAAAAGAATAGCAACTGCTAGCCTAGGAGCGAAATCTCCATGAAGTAAATGAATTGCTCCTAATAATTTACAAACTATTCTTAGCTGCTACAGCTGAGATACTAAGCAAGAAGTTCACAGTTTTCTGTTAAGGTATAAATGCTTGACTAGGGGCAAAATTAAGAGAGGTATTGTTCCTTTAACATGAATGGCCAAGACTAACTGCAGAACTTTGTCATTTGTTTCTCATCAATGCATAATATGAGCTTCTTTGTGTGTTTGTGTATGGTGGTTTTTTGTTTGTTTTTTTACAAAGAGGTAATCATAATCTTCACAAATCCAAATATAATTGTGAATAGGGTGCCTCTGGTCCCTTCTTAGAAAAAGCCTTTTGCTGCTATGTCACAACTGCTGATGGCCATTAAAGTCTTGCATAACAGCAGAGCTGTATTGGCCCAATGTTAATACAGTACCAGAAAAAGTGTTCTCCCTGACCCCTCCCCCCACCTCTATCAGTATTTTCTTCACAAAAAGTCTTTCCTTTCAGTTTCTGGCTATATTTGTTCAGTGCAAGAATAGTTGAAGCCAAAAGGTGTAAGTATTGCTTTTTTTCAGTTCTATAAAGTTAGGAGCTTCATTAAGCCAAATGGCCTCTTCACATATTTCAAACATGTTATTGCTTCTGAGAATTATCCATTGTTGCAAAATGAAGTAAAATAAAGCCACCACCCATCTGCAGGTTTCAGCAACAGCAGCACTTTTGCCCAAAGGAAATGCATGAATAGAGAGAACAGGGGAGCTTTCTTATTTGACTAGGACAAATTTCCCCATCTGTGTGGAAGTAAGGTCCTCCATTTCACAGTCCCCATGCTGCAACAAAGTGACTGCCTCAAAGCTTGGAGACTGCACCGTAAAGCCATTCTGCTGAGAAAACATGGGGGCAATGGGAGACCCATTGCTGCTGATGTGCAGGCGGGTGTCTAGAAGATGAGCAGCTGAATTGACTGGAGACACACCAACCCCAAAAAGATGAGGCTGAAGGAACTGGGTGTTACGGAAAGCCACCTCTAATGAGGTCTCACTCTGCAGGTCAGAGAGGTGTGGGGAATTGGCCGCTTTGCTGCCGGTAGCGTCAGACAAGGGGACCGTGTGCGGCTGAGACACCTGAGAAGAGTGGTGACAGGCTGGCTGGTGATGTTGTAACTGGAGCATTCTGAAGAAAACAAAGAAGAGAGCGAAGGCATTGTCAATTTTTAATAAGCTTCCTAATGGTTGTTCTCAGATAGCATGCCCCCTCCCTCGCACCTCAGCATCTGTCTTTGCAAGTCTTGACAGTAGGTGTGACCAAATGCACACACTCCTGCACGGCTAAGCCATTAAGAGTGTCTCCCTTGACGACTGCAACTTTCCATGAAATTAAAATGAACTCCATCCTTGGAAAAACATCCAAAGTGGGAAGGACGGGGACCATGGTGGTCTAGCCCATTCTTTGCATTACGCTAGCTTCACCCCAATTCAGCTACTCAGCTTCATAGCTTCACCAAGGACTAACACATGCAGAAACAAAGATGGATGTAGCCTGCCTGCACAACGTGTCCATCGCAAAATTCATGTGTAGAATCTGACATGGACTAAGATCACGCACATGACAGTCTATAAATGGAGATGCCTAGGATAGTGCTAAACATAATATTAGGGGTCTTCTGCCATTCACCTCTGTTGTTGGAGCACCTCTTCAAGCAAGTTCCTGCTCTCTCTGCTGCTTCCACCCGTGCTGCCGCAGCCACTGCTACCACTTCCTCCGCAGCTGTACATGCAGGCATTTTGCTGAGAATGCTGGAAAGGACCCATGCCATTCCGTGCGATCCTAGCAGAGGAGGACTGGCACACCTGGCGAGCAAACCCTTTGATTTTGTTCAGTCCCAGAAAACCTTTGGCTCTTGCATTCTTCCGGAGCTGCTGTCTAAACGCCTTCAAGCCTGTTGTAAAAAGAAGGGCAACAGTTATACATCTACTTACATTATCTGTTAACTTTTTCCTTGGAAATATGTTCTCTATCCATTCAGAAATCTGCTCAGGACCAGGTCAAAAATTGGGCAACATGAAACAGCTGCCCCACATGCCAAATTGCAGATACCATGAAAATACAGCAAAGGCCTATTTATTTAATATTATTGCAGCATTTTATCTTCAGGCAAGGGATGTTTCTGGGACTTCCCACCTTATGTGCACAGTTTAGGTACTATATACTTTTAGCATTTGAGATGGGGTGCCATTTACGGCTCTGCTTCAAGCAGCAGAATGTCATGGGCTGACCTTGGAAATGGTATACCACCTCTATTCCCAGCATCAGCAGATCTGTATAAGTTTCACAATGTTTCTCCTTTTGTTGCTTGCGCGCGCGCACACGCACACACAAAGCACAGTCTGTGTGAATGCGTATAGGCATGCACTCAACACAGAGAGATCTCACACCTGCTCTTGGATGTTACAGATCATTCTGTTAATGGATACGTACAATGATCTATGGTCTATAACGAAAGCAGTTGTCCAAGAATTACACAACTCATGCTTTAGGTGTCTATCTGTGCATAAATGGAATGGCACTGCTACATAAGAAGGGAAGACTAACCCTGTGTTAATGAGGTATCAGATGCTCTCCTTCCTTCTTGAAAGCTGACAGGCAACAGAGAAGCACCACCTATGCAGCCCTGAGCCTGCAATACCGGTGCATCTGAATGGGAAGTCAGGAATGATGATGTAACTCTGGCTGCAGCTGGATGACCAAGCATCATCTGATCTTCCAAACAGTTGCTCAGTGTCACAGAGCCATCATTTGCTGACGAAGTGAGACAGCTGTCAGAACTGGTTCCTTCTGTGTTGCTTGTGGAAGAGGAAATGACTATACCTACAAAAAAGCAGATGAGCGAGAAGAGAACATTTATGAAACCGATCTAGCAAGTAAAGAAACAAACAAAAATAAAAAATAAAAAAGGACAGAAAACCAGTCTCTCTGCCTAAAGAAAATCTGCTACTAAGAAAAGCCTTCAACATTACAATTAGTATCAAACAACATGAAAGCCCCAGGGTTCGCTGAAAGCCCCGTTTAAAAGCTCTAATAAGAACAGAGGTTATTATAGAGCAATACTATAAGGCAATAATAATACTGTTGCTCAGCAAGTAATAAACTAAATAGGGAATCTTGCTCTAAAAAGTTAAACAGACAGAATTTTGAAGGATTTAGAGTTTGCAGGGCTTATTCAGGTTACAGAGAGATGACACGGAAATGCTGCTGACTGACACCTTTGGGTAATCAGGCTAATTGCTTAAATGGTGAAAAACCTGCTCCTTTTAAGAATCTTCCTGACTGCCAAACTAGTATTATTTATATTAACATGCTGCTACATGGAATCTGGCATCAGCAACAAAGTATCCGGATCTCAAATGATGGGGTGGTTTCGACAAAGAAAAGATGTAGCTTTGCAGCTAGAAATAGCATATGTTTAATGGTAGCTTCCCTACCCTAAATGAAGCCGCAGCCACCATCTTTGCAAAGGCCTGATGGAGACCTCGGCAGCGGCGGTGACGATTATAGTAAGGGGGTGTCGGCGGGGGTGGGGTGGGGCTAAGGTAGGGAGAGGAAGGGGTGGCGGTAGGCTGCGGGTGTGGGTGGCTGTGGGAATGGGTGGCTGCCTATCGGCCTGCCAACCAGTTGGTCAGCCGGCCAGTAGGTAGAATGTTTTTTTTTTTTAATTATGAAGGGATGAATAAAATGGGGAAATATTCATCCCTTCATATTTGTGGGGGATCTCTGGAACCCAGAAATATGAAGGGACGAATATTTAACGGATCAGCAATTTTCCACAAATATCACGATCTGGTTTTTTTTATTCGTCCCCATCTCTAATAATCTTCCCCAGAGAGTGTAATACATGTGTCTAGCAGTAGAACAGGGAGTCACTTTTTGATGAAATACTGAAATTTAAGTAGTTAAATGCAGTTTTTCCTTAAAAGGTACAGCTGGGGCAAACGCTGTTTGGCTCCTCAACAACAATTCAAAGCACTCAAAGGAAAGGATCCTTTCAAATCTAACTGAAAACTTGCAATACCATCCATATGTGGCATAAAGCACAAATAGGAAAGATTTCCCTGCCCCCATCCAGACCCTGGAGTCCATTCTTGCAGCACTTACATGGTGGGGAACACTGATAAAAATGTGTGGTGACTTCAGCCAGTGTGTGCCTTCGACTTGTATTGATAGAGGGACGCACTGGGTTGAAGGCTTTGATCTCCTCTTCCAGTTCCTTGTCCTGCCTGACTTCCTCACTGATTGTAGTTTCGAGGAGGCTGTTTGGTGAGATCGAGCGATTCCTAAAAAGGCTATTGAAGTTTGGATCCACAGGAAAGAAGAGAGGCTGAAAGGTCAAAAGATACAGGAAGTGATAGAGTGCCCTCGTTTATTTCCTCCCTGCATCCTTGCCAGAACCACCCACACAAACACACATTTTCACAGCGGCTTGGCAGTCTGCATCTTCGGCAGTGTCTTCCCCAAGGCAGCTTATGCAATGAGGTATGAATTTACACCCGAGTGTGCACCAAATAAGGGATGGATGCATAAATACATTCCAGACTTTTCTGGCCTCACAATTACATGTGTCCCTGTTTCCTGCTTTCACCTCCCCACTTCTGCCAAATCAAATACAAGGTTAGGATGCTGGAAGCACTAACCTGTAGTGGGTTGTTTATGTCACAATCCATTTCTGCCTGCAAGGGCAAATGAATCAGACTCTGAGGCTGCTGGTACAGCAGAGATGATCTCAAGGTCTCATTGGCAAGACCTTCCTGAGGCAGCTGAAGGCAAAAAACCCAAAAAGGATCCAATGAAAATTCATTAGCAACTGCTTTTACAATCCGAGATATTAGTCTGAAAATACTACATGGTGTGGACCAATAGGCAAGCACTATTTAATAGCTTTAAATACGATGACATGCGGGGATTCATTCTTATGTCTGAAACATGGAGATGAGGACAAATTATGCACAATGCTGCGGTGCAGCTGAGTCTGCCAATTCATAACAGACTTAAGATGGCCCACAGTGAACAGTTGAATACCTCCATAATTTATTTTACATCCTCATGGGCAGTTGCAGAACTTTGATTAAAATCCACGACACGTTCCTTGCCAATATTGAAGTCCAGCACAACAGATCCATCTCCCACTCCCCATTCCCTTCTAGACAAAATGCAATTTGGCCAAAGCACTACATGCAAATATGAGAAGGGTCCTTGCTTTTTAAGACAAACATATAAGCTAGCATAGCAGCACTAGGAAAATACATTATGTTACAAATGAAAAAATGCAGAGGAAAAAGAAAAAAAGAATATAGGTCACTATGACCTTATGAATGACTGCACATAAACTCACTTCGATGGTGCTAAAGTCAGAGCTTCTTGGCCTTTGCTGTCGGCCGCTTGTTGGGCGGTTTGACAACTGATTGTTTCGGTATTCCTTGAGCCGCTCCAGGAGAAGGTAATAGATTGCAGCAAAATGGTTGTAGCTGCTGTTTTGTAAAGACTGCAAGAAAGAAAGGAGAACAGACAGCTATAGTACACTCTTCGTCTGAATACTGCAACTGTAGAAACATCTGTTATAGAAGAGTCCCTGAAATCAGCAGGCATACTGCCATATAATGGATGAAATCCTGCTGCATTTTAAAGCATATGGAAGACAAACAGTGTAACATTCACTCAACTTCTGAAGGCAATTAATGAGTTACTACTGCGATTCTCAGGGACACCCATGCCTGCTGGCTTGGCATATGCTCAAGAATCCCAGCAGGGTTTGCTAACTAACAGCTAGAAACAAGTGCATGTTATGCCATTTGCTTTCCGTATGTATTTAAAAAGCAACAGGATTTCAGCCAAGGCTTTTAAGATGAAAGGACAGCATTACCATAATGCGCAAATCACAATCATTGTCTTAAGGCCAAAAAACCCCCGAATTGTGTGAGTTGTCAAAATGTGGTAAATGCAATTCTTAGAGAAGGAAAACAAGACTGTGTTGATCCATAAATATACAAGAAAATACAATGCAAGAAAATTCAAATTCACAGGTAGAAAATATCTTCATATAGGGATTAACTATCAATTCAAAAAAATAAGCAAGCTTTCAAGTTCTCCAGAACTACAATAACTCACAAATTTGTGTTTTGTGTGAATTTACAGCTGACCCTTATAAAGGTATCTCCTGTCCGCGGATTTAGTTTTTATCTTAGAACTGGGCTTCTCCTATAATCTCATGACTCAGTCATACGTAAGTAGTGGTACTAGAGAAGCCCTCTGCCTCTGGTTTCCAAATAATACAAAATCCTGTTTATTCACAGAAAATGTTTCATCACTGCTGCCATATGGTGCTCCCTTCTGTTAACTTGTGACCTAACTGTCAAATAGGTTATATTTTCCTAGATAGGACAATAATCAATAACCTGGTTTAAGGGACAAGGGTGCACTTGGGTCCTAAACAAGCAATCAGAGGCTCACCTCAACGGTTCTCTGCCGGTCAATGCCAAGAGTATGCATGATCCCAAGGACTTGTTCATTGTAGTCTCCCAGGTTAGAGTTGTAGTTTTGCATGCAAAATGACAAAGGCTGCTGCTGCTGCTGCAGAGAAAGGTCTGCTTGCATCCACTTGTGCTGCTTTATCTGGGCAATGGTGATTCGTTTTGTGGGATCCACAACCAGCATCCGTCGAATGAGAGTTTCACAGTCTGGTGTTTGATTAAAAGACACATAAAAACAGAACTTGAATACGGAGCTAAAGGCACAGCTTTGGAATATAAAGGAAGAGCCACTATTTCAAGTCTCCCTGACCGAATGGAGGTATGGGGTGGGAGTACTGAACGACTATTTGACAATAGGCCCAGGCAAGATTGCACTTCACAGCTATTTTATCTCTGATCACACTGGCTCAAATCATTTCAACTAGTCTGGAGTCTGTGTCATCAGAAGAGTGACAAAATGACCTGATTCCTTTCTTACCCAGGATGAGGAAGAGGAAGCCATTTGAATGTTACAGTCAATTGATCATATTTCAATCCATGAAGGAAGATCTTAATTTTAATAACAGAAGGGGAGATTTCATATTAATTTTTAAAAACTTATGTTTTTATTATACTATGAGCACATGCTCTTAAAGTGAAATCTGATCACTTCAACAGCCAGAGTATTGTCATCTTCTGCACTGTTCTGCCTTTGCACACATGACAAAAAGATGCAGCCTGAGGACATTAAAAACTCAGTATCAGCACAGAACTAGATAGTTATTAGACAGTCATGAGCCACTGCCAGTAAAATGTAACCCAGAAATGACAAATCTAAACAAAAAAGTTATTAAGGAAAGAATTGCAGGCTACTAATATAGTAAGGATTCATCCACACACCTTGGGACATGAAGTAGGGAATACGGAATCGTCCTTCAAGCACTCTTTGTCTCAGAGATGGTAAATTGGGTCCATCAAACGGGAGAGAGCCACAGACAAGAACATATAGCACCACACCAAGACTCTGTCAATTATAAAAGACAAGAAGAGCATAACATTATTATTGACTGAAATACAAGCACAGAAATCTGTTAAGTAACATCACGTTGGAACACTATTACACCAAAAGTAAAGTAACACGGAACCAAACGTACCCATATATCAAGGTGAGGACCTTCATATTCTTTTCCTTCAAAAACTTCTGGAGCCGCGTAAGGGGGACTTCCACACCATGTGGATAGGGGTTCACCAGATTTGTAGAAATTTCCAAATCCAAAATCTGTAAGAATGAAATATCACTATCATTAAAAAGAAACCACTTATAATTAAAACGAACAGGTACACTGCAGGAGACATTCTATCAATGATGACTTTGAGGGTCATCTGAAGTGGCTTTTTTTAAACACAAAGATAAGGTACTAATTCAATTAATATCCTTTGTTTAAAATGGTTGCTCTGGAAAATACAAAGCCAATCGCTCCATTTAACTGCTTCATGGAACACAAATTTTTGATGTTTTTCTTTACCTGGGCATCACACACTAATGGCCAGTCAAAGGATTTCAGGAAAGACCCTTGTCTATTTTGCTCTGATAACAGCTGTGCCAGAAGTCTCACCTGCGAGCTTGATGTTCATGTTAGCATCTAACAGCAAGTTTTCTGTTTTAAGGTCTCTGTGCACTATGTGATGACTATGGCAATATTCTACAGCTGAAAGGATCTGCCAGAACTTCTTCCGAGCTTCACTTTCACTCAGGTGCCCATGAGAAGTCAAGTGCTCTAACAAGGGCAAAGACAAAACAAACTAAAATCAAATGCCTGGAACAAACTTCCCATTATCCTTTAACTCCTAAGAAACATTTACCATTTCAGTTTTCATGATCTGTTTATGCCCACTTTGAGATTAAGAACTATTTATTTATTTACCATTTAATTATTTGATTTATATACCGCCTATCTAACCAATGGTAACTTTGGGTGGCTTACAACAACTGCAGGCATAAAACAAGATTTTAAAAAACCCACAATAAATTAAACAAGGATATATAACTTCAGTCTCCTAATCCTCACAAACTTCAATACCTTATTAACATAACTTGAGGTAATTAAGCTATTCGCTTCGATCCAACCACTCAATTTATGACGGGAACAGGTTTGTATCTCATTGTGTCACCTCTGCTGATGGAAGAATCTTTGAACTTGTGGAAACTTCCATAAGGGGAATTGTATTTAGGGGAGAGAGGCAATTTCCATTGTTTCTCCCTTCCTCTTGCATCCCATTGTGAACACCCAAATATGCTTCATAGGTCTGGAGCACCTTTTTAAAGTGCTGGTATAGCTTAGCAGGTTGGCTCAGGAGTTGGGAGTGAGTATCTGCCCTGTACATCCAGGAAAGGGGCCAACCAATATCACCCAAAAGATAAGTGGCTCATAGGGGTAAAATGTCCCAATACCTGTGTGGCCTTAAGGAAGTGTCCAGTCCCAGACTACCACAAGAAAGAGGGACTGGCAAACCACTTCCAATTGCTTCATAGCACAGGAAACCTCACCATTAGTCAGAATCAATTTAACAAAAATGTTAATCCTAATTCTAAAATTTATTATTATATTAGTATTATTATTACAGTACAGAAGGGAGCAAAAACTCTTGATTTTCTCTAAAATACCAATTTTCTGAGTTTGATACATGTACCCCACTCTTTGGTCATATATACTGCTAAGTTATAATGATAATAACTTACCAAACATTTCTCCATTTTTTGCAAATTCTGTTACTATATAAAGCATATCTTTTGTTTCCATAACCTGGGGAGAAGAGAAAAGGGGGGGTGAGGGGAGAGAATATCAACGATGCACATCTCTAGAATATATAATTTAGTTTTGAATATGAAGTACACTTATGTTTCACATCAAAACAAAGCATTAGGTTTTTTTAACTCCATTACGTAATCCACACATTCACCTCCTTAAATTATACTGTTTCTTCTGCTAATGTACACTAACTATAGAGGCATTATCACATTACAATGTATATTTAAGAACATATTAACATTATTTGTGATCTTAATGCTAAAATGTAGATGACCAGTACATTTCAAATGTATAATAAGCTAAAAAAACAGCTATCCAAACACAACAGTCACACTTAGCATTCTATAGATTTATTCATGCAATAAGATACTAGTTATGTCTCTTTATCCATAACGGCTTCCTGTCTATGCCAAGGTATTTCTCAAAACCAGTAGGAATAACCACCAAGTGTAATAGCCATCTGAATATCAGCTTCTAAAAGGTTCTACCATTTCCAAAACATTTAAGAAATAGCTTTAAAATGTAATTTCTGAGCAGAATAAATACTAAACAAATAAATATATTTGTCACTGGAAAGCCTATCCTATTTTGGAGCAAATGTGAGATGTCCACTAAAGAGAGCTCTCAAAAAGAACTGTATTCTCAGGTCCGACAGACACGGGCTTACCCGGGGGTGGGGGGGATAGAGCTGAGGTAATGTCAGTGTTTTTCCTGAATCTATAATTTCTGACATTTTGTAAGGGGGTGTGAATGTCAAAGGAAAGGAAGGTGTATACATCCCACATAAATATAATGTGGAAAATATACATTTTAAAAAATACTGGAATATGGCATTTTAAATATTCTGGGAAAGATGACAATTGCATTAAATTTACACATTGCTGTTGACTAAGTCAACTCCAACCCTCTTGCTCCCAAATTGGCATCTCCCTTAATTCCTGCTGGTCAGCTTCCATCTAAGGGAAGCATCAGGCACAAAATGAACAAGGATATAACATGGAAGTGAGAATACATCCATATACTTCCCAAAGAAGATTCGCCAGACACTCTGCTTATTCAGCCAACCAACCCAATTCAATCATAAGATAAATTAACCCATTTTCAAAGGCTCTAAACACTACTGTGACCTGCACTGTTGTTCAGCAATGAAGTCAGAAGAGTCTCCTGTACTCCCAGGAAGGTAGACCAATAACAAATGCATATAAACATGTTTTGGAACAGTAAACAAAACTAATAGAGGATCTTTGAAATAATGCCTCTAACACGTGCTTCACGTTTCTTAAGCTTCTGCTTATTCATTACAATTAAAAAATATTTTATGGCTGCAATCAATACTTTGCAGCCATAAAAAATAAATTTGCCATTTTTCTTAAGTCACATGTATATCCTTTTCCCCTTTTTGTTTAGCAAAATGTCACATATCACTTTACTGTCACACTCGACCTTCTTAAATCCACAAGGTACTGTTTAAAACAATTAAAGGGAACTTCCACCAAGCACTAATTAGATAAGATATTGAATATTTGTAGAACCCACTCTGCTCATTAGATTACTTCAATCTTATTTTCTGCACAGTACACATAATCCTAATTTTAAGAAATATATGCACTAAAAATAAGACTGAACTATAAGTAATTTCAGAATCTTTCATTCTGGCTTTGGCAGCTTCTAAAACCAAAATATTACTTCCATGTGGCAGCCTATTCTTAACAACATTTACTTGGTAATTCAAATAGTTAATGTTCTAAATGAATATTTAAATCCAATCTTGAAGGTTCATCTTCAAAACTTTGCACAGCAAGCATTGAAGTATTTTTATAAATATGAAATAAAGGGGAAAATCATAAGGAACTGAAGTCATGTGTGCTCCAAACAGTAAATCCAGAGCAACTGAAAATTTACTACTCACATCTAAATGATTTGTAACTTATGTTTAAATCCAAAATAGTAAAATTACTAAATATTGAATAAGGAATGCATGCTTTATCTTTCTTTCTGCCTTTTAACTAACAGAAGAGCTAACTTCTCTTCTGAAGGAATCATGTGCATTTTAATATCATTAGCCGCCAAAGCCATAAGGATAAGCTGAAGAGGCAGACAAGTGGTCAGGCCGCCTCTCTTACCTGATAGAGTTTGATAATGTGGGGGTGATTCAAAAGCTTCATTATCTGAACCTCTCTATAGATTTTCTTCAGATTGCTTGGATCTAACCGTGTTTTGTCTATAATTTTTATTGCAACCTGTAGTTTCAAGAAAACAAACCAGGAATATCTGTAAAATATATTCTTATATCACTTCATAATATAGTAATGCAAATAAAGTAAGGTTTGTGAAAACAAAGCACATTTATGGGAAGTTAAGACAAAATTATACTGTAAAAATCTCAGATAAGATGACCACAGGCAAGAGGGAGAGAGAGAAAGAAAGAATATAGACTAATTTACTGAATGTTCATTTCACTGGAATCAGTAGATATGCTTATAGATAAATGCCTGAACAGAACAATTATAAGCATATTTAGAGGTAGAAGGAAGTCTGACTGAGTTAAAGAGAACCTGTTCTTTATTAATCTATATGTTTAGGAATCAAAGTGCCAGACACTGAATTTAAGTGACAACTATTCACGACATACCATTTTTATAATCCTTCCTTTAATCCAGCTTCATGAAAGACTGTACAAGCTAATTCAGAAAATTACCAAGTATGACAACTTCTAAATATATATTTAAAATAATAATTCTGACACTCTTAATCACCCACTCCATTTAAGTTGTCACAAGGATAATGTTAATTGAAGTCACTTCATATTGTTTACTTCAAAAAATCATATCCATCTAGGAAGATAAACTTAAAACAGCAGAACTGCCATTTGTTTTAATGTGTCAGCAAAAGTAGGAAAATCAGGACTAACAACAACAGGCTTTCTGATGGTTTCAAATCCATCTCAAAATGCAGTCAATTCAAAACTTCTGCTGTTGCTCCTCTCCTTATATATTGTGTTGCACTATGAGTCTACTCCAGGGAGTCCCTTTTATTACAATTAACGTATTCCAGTTTACAGAAGTTAGTAACCCCACAAAACAAACTTTCCTTACTCTTAATTTTCTATACTGTACAAATCAAGGCCACAGACCATCACACCCACCTGCGTTTTGGTTACTCTGTGCCTGGCCAGTTTCACCACGGCAAAATTGCCTTTTCCCAAGGTCTTCTCAATATCATAGAATCCGACCCGAAGAGGCCTTTGATGGCTCTGGCTTGAGGTGGGCACAGTTGTATAATCTGACATGATCACCATCCTTTGATTTTGGTGGGTGACAAACACTATTTAGAAGCCTCTACATAAGCATTTCTCTCTCTTCAAAGATCTGATTTGAACCTGGAAGAAAATGAAGAGAGGCTCACTAAGACATTCTCCCCTCCTGCCCTAGCAAGGCTTTTGCAAACTATCTCAAACTTCATAAGTTGGTCCTGAGGACTCGACACAGGAGAAAATTTATTTTAAAGCTTTCCCAATACAATCCCCAAGCACACACCCACAGTCCGTGGCCACAGCCACCTAGATCAATGATAAAATAAAAACACCAAGAACTTCATAATCAAAAAAAAGTGAAAAATTCTTAATAATTAGATGTGCAGCAAGCAGTGATATGTAAAGTGCTGCTTAGCCCTCGGGAAGATAACCTGCCCGATTTTTTGCCTGTTATGTCTACGGAAAAAAGACCCCTCATTCCACTAGAAATGAATTGGGGGGGGGGTCTCTACGCGAGTCTTCTATTCGTGAGAACCTACCACGAGTCAATCAGCTGCTCGCACGGTGTAGATTTTTAAAAAAGGGGCATCAGCGCATATCTAGAACTACACAACCAAAAATAGCAATCATAATGGCAATGAATACGAGTGATGGCTTTCTTCGGTGCCGCGAATATCCTGAGGGATCCTCCCCCCAAAGGGAAAAGAGGGAACCCAGAGAGGATCGTCCCCGAGGAAGGAGCACGGAAAAGA